GTAGAGAACCCTTTGCTAAAATTTTTGAATTTTTTGACCTTACCTTCAGTGCTGGTGAGTAAAACAGCTGAGGCGTGGCAATCCGCTCGGCCGCACTAATTAACTGAGTTACAAACAAAGGAAATATAGGACAAGAAAGGGTGGGGGCAGGTGAGCGGGCCCAACTTCCAACCAGTGCTACCGGATCGCTAGAACCGGTGCAAACCGGCATCATACCACCTCTGTCTTCCACTGAAAAGAGCAGCTCAGTCAGGTGTGAGCAGCTCCCAAGAAGTCTCTGCCAGGGTTCCGGTTAACACACCCAACGGAATCAAAGCTGCAAGGCAGGTATGTTCCTCAAAGCATAGATTTATTAGGCTTGTTGTATTGTCACATCTGGGGAAAACCCGACTCTGAAGGACTCAAGGTTTTCCCCACCCAAATCAAAAAACCCAAGTTCTTTCTCCTGGTTCTCTGACCCTAATGATTCCTTCCAACAACCAGTTCACCAAACTGCTCAGAAAGTTTAACAACCGATTTTCCCGAAGTGGTGCGAATCGGCTGAATCTGTCATGCCCCTGGTGGACACAGACTCTGAAGGAGAGGAGGAACAGACAACAGGGAGTGGAAGTGTGGCTCTGGAGGTTGTGGAGGAGGCTAGGGAAGAGCAGAGACCAGTTGGGCAGTCAGAGGAGAACCCAAGCCCATCCCCTATCCAACCTAGGGCACGCAGGGAGGAGAGGATAAGGGAGAGATGTGGTCTACTGGGGAGGAGAGGGCCTTGATCCCCTTCATGGGCTGCAGATGTGGCAACTGGATAAGAGTACAGACATGCATACGGGCAAACGCTGGAAACAAAGCGTGGAAATATCTCTAGTTTATGGTTCCTCTCTGAGTTTGGCATCCTTCCCAGTGTGTGCTCTGTTATCTGTGGACGTCTTCCAGCCCTTATCTTGCCTGGTTTGTGTTGCTTTTTTCCTTCTTCTTGTAACCGTTTGTGTGGGAGTTTTTTGTTTTCCATTAGGAATATTCGCAGCTTGGAAGCAAAGTGAAGGAATAAAAGGGGCTTCACCTGTTTTCTGTGACTGTGTTTGTTCTGTATCCCACCCTGGGTCATCACACTCCCCCCGTCACACGCCCATCACCTGGTCCAACCAGATCACATCCTCCATCCAGGCTGGCTTTGGCCCATGCCTCTCCAACACCTGGTAGAGCGTCCCAAGGAAAAGAGTGTTGTTTCGGCTACACATCCCCCCAGCTATTTTTGTCTCTCCCCCCCCTTACATTCCCACAGCTCCAACTGGCTTGGCTGTGGCAGCCCTGAAGATGCTCCCAAAATGGCTCCTTACCTGGGGAGTCTCTACTCGCAAGACGAAAGATGCGAAAGAAAGGAAAGGGAAGTTGCAGGCTGACATCAAATTTTAATGCTTAAAATTCCCCCTTTTCAAACGTTCCACACCCGCGTGCAAAGCGCGTGCCCACAGAACCGGTAGTAAAATATTTTGAATACCGTCACTGGCTGGCTCCTCTTCTGGCTGCAATCACCCCAGTGTGCTTGGATCCCACCCACAGACCTGGTGATCCTCTCTACTCCCTGATCCCTTGGCCTTGGAAGTTTAGTGAACTTTTTGAGGATCAGCTTTTTTTCAATGCACTGGCCCAGTTTGTATTCCACCCCCCCCACCCCCCCCACCCCCCGTTCAAGTGAGGAGCCCATGGATGGTTCATCCGGCACCCCGTCCAGCTTGCAGGCTGAGCAAGATCTGCCAAGGAGGCCCCTTGAATGTTAAGCCATCTCCGTCTCCCAGGTAGGGGCTGCACGGTGCAGCTCAGCGGTGCCCCTCCAAGCGTCGGGGGGGGGGAGGGGGCTTTTTTCATAAATCTCTGGGAGGGTGACCTGAATTGAATGAGCCCAAGCGAAGGGAATGGCGCAAAGCCTGTCCTGAAATAAAAATCCATCTCGTATTCAAAGGTCACTTGTCACCCAAGCCGGCAACTCATTAAAAAGTTTCCATTCTTGTTACTTGAGACGCCCCTCGAGTACGGCTGGGCATGGCAAAAGAGGGAGGGGCGGGGAAACTCAGCTTCCCCTTCCCTAAAATAACAGGCTGGCTCTTTCCCCCGTCTCCTTTCCAATCGCGACCTTCGCTGTCGGCTGAACTGCTTGCTTTGTTTCTCTTTTCCCTGCAGCTGAAGACAAGCGTTTTCTGCTCGAGGGGGCTGCAATGGCAAACCTGCAATGACAACCCTGGGAATTGTGGGGGGGGGGAGGAATGGAGAAGGGGGCGCCACGGGCTTCCTGAGATGTTTTCAGGATGAGTGGGAACAGCAGGGTCTTCTAAAGACCCAGAGCAGAACGGGACAACTCACTGTGGCCAACTTGCCACACGTGACTTGCCTTGGACAACTCGCTACAGCACAATTCAACAATTCAATTGAATGATTTAAAATAATCGTTAAAAGTATTTTAATTGGCGTCATGCACATTTTATTTTGTCCCTCCTTTGGCTTCCTTTCTTTAAGGAGTCTGTTCCACTATGTCTTTGACATTAGTGTAACTCTTGTCTTATGGTGAGTTGGCTCGTAACCAGTTGGCTGTAGTGAGTTGGCTGTGGAGACTCTGCTGCAGAGTTGGCCAGGGTGAGTTGACCATGGTGAGTTGACCATGGTGAGTTGGCCGTGGAGTGTTGGCCATGGGGATTTGGCGATGGAGAGTTGGCCATAGTAAGTTGACCATGGTGATTTGGCCACGGAGAGTTGGCCATAGTGAGTTGACCATGGTGATTTGGCCATGGAGA